AAATCACAATTTTTACACTTGTCGAGCTCAGGTTATGTATTTTACAAGATAGAAACTATTTTAAAAGCATTTTACTAGCTTAATTTAATTCACCTAGAAAAATATCCCAAACAATAGGTTATATATTTTTATCAAATACTACACTTCATGATAAATCTAGCAAAATTTGGTTCACTCGAATTGGACAACCTTAGCTCCAGTTATGAACTTCCAAATTTTGCATTCAAAACTAGAAAAGAATAAAGAAAAACAAACAAAACCCTAAATGCTATGTACACCCGACACAGCATACCCAGGCACCGACTAGCTGGGCCCTGTGGGTCAACGGGACCCATGCACCAATGAGACCAAGGTAGGTTACGGCGTTTGATCGATGAGACTCACCGATGGTGAGGTCTCGGTGAAACCACCACCACCATCGTGCTGCCCTCGTCAACAAGCGTCTAGTGGTGTAGGTGGTTGAGCCAATTACGGTGGTTAGACATGGCGGCGGCGAGCATGGTGGCATGGCGGAGGTGCGCGGTGGCACCATTGGTGTTCTAGGCAAAGTCGAGCTCTCCCGAGCTTGGTTATGGCTTTAGGGTGACCTACTTGACGACCTAGGGCTAGGGTTAGGGTTCGGCAAAGCGACGGTGAGCTCGGCCGCGTGCACGGCGGCGAGAGCACGGCGGTGCGGTGCATGCCGTTCTAGCGAGTCGATGATCAGTGACGGGTCTCCATGTTCAGGGTAGGCACTTGGGTCCATGGAGGCTTAGAAACAAACACAGGAGGGGGAAGGTGGGGTCTGGCGAGGGCCGTCCACGGCAAGCTTGAACTCATGACCATGGCGGGCACGCTCGGTGCGGAGTGCGTTCCCACGCGATGGATTGGATGGAGGTGCGGCGGTGGTGGCGCGTGAGTGTGGCGGAGGTCTGCGGCGGCGACGGCGAGCACGGCTCCGCTCAGCGAGCTAGCGAGAGGGAGAGAGCTGAGTGAGAGAGTGAGAATGAGCGAGCGCGCGCGGCCACGTGGCGCGCGCGGCCTGGCGTCGATCAACCACTATTGTGCTGTTGCTGCTCAGTTTTAGGCCGGCGATGGCCGACTGACGGAGCAACATCAAGCACAAGTAACTCCCAAACTAACTCGAGTTGGTGAAAAACCTCTTAATAGGAAATGTAGAGCTACATTTACTCTCTAACTTTGCTTTAGAAAGCTTCCTCTAATTCGCCATGGTTTTCAAACTACAATGCTCCAAAGTAAGCTACTTTAAAACAGAAAACCAGCTTTAGAATTAGCAAAATTTATGTCCCTGAACAACATTTGATTGCTACTTTGGAGCTATTTTTGACTATGTTAGGCACTGAATTAGCTCATGACCCTTAAATAAAGTTTGTTACCCATAAGATAATCTACAACTTTTATTGAGGGTGCACTGCCATGCAAACACTCTAAGCTACTATTCAACTTTGGTCAAACAAGCATCATGAAAAATGACATTTTGAGTAAACTAGGAATTATAAGCAAAATTGGCCCATGTCATGAATACAAACATTGTTCCATTTACCATCCTAGATATGTCTAAGGTGTTTTTGTGACCCCACAACCATCTCTTGCATTGGTCACACATGGTCACAAGCATATGCATGTATATAATCAACATCACATGTGATAAAGAGAAGGTGAATGAAATGAAACTTCACATGCTCATGCTCATTAATGCTTGGATGATGCTTGTGCTCATGAAATGCAAGTGCCAAATGCATGCTTAACGCTAGGGTGTTACACGAGCTAACCGCCTATGCATTCTAGTTGGTTCCGTTCGTCTTTTGTTGTTGCAGGAGGCACATGGAGGTGGATTGATGGGCCATTATGGTGCCATGAAAACAGAGGAGGTGCTAGGCACACACTTATTTTGGCCATGGATGAGGCGAGATGTAGAGCGGTTTGTGGCTCAGTGTGCCACATGTCAAAAAGCTAAGTCACGATTGAACCCACATGGTTTGTACATGCCTCTTCCCATTCCTTCTATTCCTTGGGCTGAGATTTCTATGGATTTTGTTTTGAGATTGCCAAGGACTCAGAGGGGTAGGGATAGTATTTTTGTGGTAGTTGATCATTTTTCTAAGATGGCACATTTTATTCCTTGTCATAAAAGCGATGATGTTGTTCATATTGCTGACATGTTCTTTCAAGAAATCGTTCGCTTGCATGGTATGCCTTCTACTATTGTTTAAGATCACGATGTAAAATTCTTGAGTCACTTCTGACGTACTTTGTGGAATAAATTGGGGACAAAGCTGCTGTTTTCTACAAGTTGTCATCCCCAAACTAATGGGGAAACTGAGGTAGTGAATCATACATTATCCACCATGTTGAGAGCAATTTTGATGCACAATTTGAAGATATGGGAAGAGTGTTTGCCGCACGTGGAGTTTGCATATAACAGGACGGAACACTCTACAACCAAGGTAAGTCCCTTCTAGGTAGTGTATGGCTTTAACCCCCGTGCTCCTATTGATCTTTTGCATCTACTTACCACTGAGAGAACACATAATGATGCTAGAGAGCGTGCTGAGTTTATTCGAAAGTTACATGAAACAACAAAAGCAAATATTGAAAAGATGAATGAGCAGTATAGAATTGCGGGTAGTGAAGGTAGAAAAAAGTAAAACTTGAACCGGGTGATTTGGTTTGGTTACATTTGAGAAAAGATAGATTTCCAGAGCTGCATAAGTCTAAATTAATGCCAATAGTTGTTGGTCCTTATAAGATAATTGAGAAAATAAATGATAATGCATACAAACTTGAGTTGCCACCCGAGTTCAGGGTTAGCTCCACTTTTAACATTTCAGATTTGAAGCCTTACTTGGGAGAAGATGAACTTGAGTCGAGGATGACTCTGTTTCAAGAGGGGGAGGATGATGAGGACATCACTCCCTCGGATCCACCCGCTGATCCTCCAAACACTAAGCAAGATCCTCCAAACAATAAGCAAGGTCCAATGACCCGAGCTCGAATGCGCCAGCTAAATTTAGAGGTGAGCTCGTTCTTAAGCGATCCTTTTCATACTTTTGAGAACAGACTACTACCTAATGATGTTATATTTCTTAGGAACATTGGAGAGGGTCATGAGGAACTTGAAGGAAGAGATGGAGGCAAAGATGACCAGCAAGGACATCCAACACAAGTCGGAGGGCCGGTCCAACATGAATTCATGTCTGCCTCGGCCTCCAGGACCAGTCTGCCATAAACTTTCCACCCAGGATGTGTCTAGACTCTGTTTTCGACGATCCACATATGGATGGAAAGATAATTTCACAAGAAAATCAATGGAAGTGGTCCCATGTCAAAATCCCTTCAGAATCAATGGGAATCGTCAAAACAAGTCAGCGTCCAGAATCTGACAGGGTGTTGCGTTACCGTATTTGGCCCAATGGGCCGTGTATCGTCTTTGAGCCCATTAGGGGGATGCGTCTAGGGTAGGCGATGACACTAAGACCATTATAATCATACGCCGCCACCGTTGTTAGGTTTTGGGTTTTGCTTAGATCATTCTGTCATTGACAGTCACCGTCTATCAATTTGTGGAACCCCAACTTGTGTGCTTAATCATTCATCTATAGTTTGTCCCAAATCTTGAGCTGCGTTCTTTCAAGTTCTTGCTTGTGTTCCTCGTTTCGCAGGCAGGGATTAGCCTTCTTGGTGAGGTTAACCGGCTTGGTGACACGGTTGATAACCTGAGGGGTCATTGTGCTAAGATTGCAGGGTTCGGGTCTTTGGATTTGAAGCCGGATTGGTGTGTTGTGCTCCACCAAAACGATAGTTATCATCACCTAATGGAAGATTGGGATCCCTGTTCCCATCAGTAGGGTTACAATAGATCCGATCGGCTAACAGATGTGTTTCCTAGTTTGTTACGTGGAAAGTACAACAGATCATTTGACCACAACTTACGGACATCGGAATGCTAGCTATATATGCTTGATAACTTGATCTCCACATCTACTGATACGCCCGGTGTACATGGGCCTCATCCCTCGTTGTATTCGGCCTAGTAGCCAAGCTTGGGCCGATATACGGGCGGTGAGATATCTCGGTCCCATATATCTGACAGGAGGGGAGTACTAATCCTTGAACTCTTTCTTCTTCAATCGCTCATATGTTTCTTGCCCCCATGCTCATCAACAAAACGGATCTGCCAAACGAAAACAAGCTTTTCTTATGGCTATGTTTCTTATCAACATCATTCCTTCTAAGTCATCAATAATGACACCCCTATGATCGTCTCCTTGGTCAATGACCTAATTACACGTTTCTGTGTAATTCGAAGAAGTTGCAATTTTGTTCCAAATGTTGTGTGCTTCTTGGTTATAGCAATTCACATAAGGGGTTCAAATGTCTTGATTCATCTGAAGGTTGTGTGTATATTACCCGGGGTTTTGTATTTGATGAGCACGTTTTTCCGTTGCCTTACTCCACTCGAATGTGTGCTGGTTGCAAGCTGAACTTGCCTTTCTCCTCGATGTTTTATTAAACCCGTCAACTACGCAATTTTGCATGATTGGCATTTGGTTAGCTCTACCCTTGCTAACGCCTCGTCAAGTTATGCTGGTGGTATGGTGGATGCAGAAGTAAACACGGGGTTTTTAGAATGTTAGCCACTCCTAAAAAATGATTTCTAGGCATGGATGCATCTGTCTCTCTACAAAGCTGTTTTTTTAGGGCCAGCTGGCCTAGCCATCCCTACAAAGCCTGGCCGTGGTAGTAAAGTATCACACTGCTATGTCCTATGTTGATGAATAAATAGATGCTCTCGTGTAATTTTTCAATCTTTTATGTTTCCTAGTTGTTCTTTGTATTGTAATCGTTTGGCTTCGTTAAACAACTGAATGAAAACACTTATATTCTCAAAAACTCAGACTCCATACATAACGGTACAAGAGCAAAATGAACACAAAACCAATTGCATTATCCATGGAACTAAACAAGTGAGGCTAGCTTGCTCCAGGATGACGAGGAGTTCAGTACTGCGGCAGGTCGCACTCGACCGGCTTCTGGCCGTTGACCAAGCGCTTGGGGTCGGCGCAGTAGTCGTAGATCCTGTAGCTGCTCTGCACCCACTGCATCTTCCCCACCTGCGCGTCACTCAGGCTACTGCAGGAGCCGCCGGCAAACGCCGCGGCGCAGGTGGAGACGCAGCCCCCGCTGTAGCACTCGCAGACGTCGAGGTCGATGCCGTGGTAGCTGGCGACGAAGGGCGCCTTGGACCAGTCGGCCTTGACGCGGCCGCCCTGCGTGGCCCAGTCCTCCGCCGCCCAGATGCTGGAGTAGGCGTACATGGGCTGGCTCGTCGGGAACGCCACGCCGTGGGTCGCCGCGTAGTTGCGGAACACACGGATGGGGACGCCGTCGATGTACCACCTGAAATATAAAAAAAATTATATTAATTGTTGATGAATAATCAATCGGATTATGGATCGATCGATCTCTGCATGCATGCATGCGTCTGATCTGCCATGATATGATTACGACGTACACGATCATGCAGGGAGTCCAGGAGATGGTGTAGTTGTGGTAGTCGGCGGTGGGGTCGAACCATGGCTTGAACTGCATCTCCTTGTTGCCCACGCCGGCAGCGTACACGTTGGTGTGGATGGTGTAGGGCTGCCCGCTCACGTTGCCAAGGAACTCGAAGTCGATCTCGTCGTGGTTGTCGCCCAGCGACGACGTCTGCAGGCCGGCACATGGAAAAGGAAAGCTAAGATAGATTCGATGATGGATTGCATTATATCGTGGGTTCTCATGCACACAGCACTCACATAGTAGGTGGTGACTGTGCCGGCGGAATCGCCGGGGACAAGCTGGATCATGGTGGACACGGTCCCGTACACGAACTGCCGCTTCGACCGGATCATGGAGCCTGCAGCATATATATATACGCATGCACAGGGCACAACAAGTGATGAAGATAGATTCTAGCTAGCTAGTCACCGAAGCATTCATCTTGTACGACGACCACGCACACACTACCCTGATCACCGTACCTGAGGAGCTGCTGACGAGCGCGAGGGAGAGCCTGTTGCCATCGTCATAGGCCCAGCAGTTCTGGGGCTCCCACGTCGCGTCGCACTCCTCGTAGAAGCTGCCGCCGGCCGCCAGGCCAACGAGCATGGACGATGCAAAAACAAGTGCAAGCAGGGAGGACGACACCTTCCTTGCAGGGTTTCGTTGCTCTCCCATGATGATCATTCTTAGTTCTATTTCTATTATTCTATAACCCAGAGCTCGCTCGATCGAGCGACTCTCTTGATGAGAATGCACTAGTGTATGATGATTGTGTCTCTGCGTGCTCTCAGCTCTTTGTTCTCTTCTATCTGATGAAGAGATGAAGGAGGAAGGAGACAGATATATATAGTGCCTCGAGCGAGCCCCTCCTGACAGAAATACACGATGCATACGCTTCATCACCTGATGTGATGGAGTACTTTTCTTTTGTCAATGATGGCCGTGACTTGTTTAATTTTGTGGCCGTTGTTGATCTATGTAGGGAACATAAATTAGTCCATCTTTCAAATTAAAGGGATCATGCATGCACGAATCTGGAGAGAGGTATCGATCGGTGCAGCCGTGTGGAATGATAGACAGGAGCGGGGGAAAAAGGGCAAAGCTGCAGGCGCCGTGTGGACACGTAGTTTGGGGTACTACCGACACCCGAGTTCACTTTGGCAACGTGCCTGACATCCTGGGCATACTTGCGCCGAACGTCTTGTGGCATCCATCATGCGTGTGCCCTTCACCGACATGATTGCTCTCCAACATCTGGCACCCGGCAAGAATCATTCTGCGCACCGGAGGCAAATTGATCAACATGCCGCGGCCAACACACAAAAAACAACGTCATATATGTATAACACATGTCAGACTTATTATTTATTATTATGTTTGCTCTTTTCCATAGAGCGTATATGTAGTAGTATTATGTATGTGTATATAAAAATGTACAATATCCGGTGGCGGACCCAAGAGTTCATCGAGACTAGGGCCTCTGACTAGGGGTGACATCTGCACTAGTACCCTACTCAGCAAGGTTCCATTAATTAATATCACACACAAAAATAACTAAGACAAAGGTAAAAGTTTCTAATTAATCTGCTGATTAAACTAAAATTGTTAAGAATATAGTTCATAATTACATTTTTTTCTAATTGAGTACAAACTGATTAAGAAAGAGTGGATCATAAACCATATAGCACACATACAGAATAGGCCATAGAAGGAGAAGGGGCCAAGGAGGCCCATCTGGTGGCCGTCACACAATCACTTTATCTAACCATCCATAAAAATATCATCTTTGTAGTTCGACATGCTATGCATATGCTACAAGTTATATATTATATTAAATGAGCAAGTCAACATGATATATATGACAGTAGGTGACATATATTTATATATTCTCAAATTGCGGGTATCCGTCGGGTACCCGTGGGTAAAATTTGATTCCCACACCCTACCTGCATCTTTGCGGGTACCCGACCCTCATGTATCCATGGGTGAATTTTCATGCCCGTGCCCACACCCATCGGGTACGAAACCCGCGGGTAAGATTGCCATCCCTAGGAGGGGAACTCTAAAGCGACACGGTTATCTAGAATCACTTGACGGTGTTGATTAACATGCATATGCATTTGACCCAATGACATGGTGAGTTGAAGCAAAAATTTTATAAAACAAATAGCAAAATGCTAACTTCGGTGCTTCAATGTTTGTCAAAGTAAAGCGGAATCCCTACCAAGAAGATGGAATTGCTAGAGGAAGTGAAGAAGACCCAAAGGCGGAGTATCCCTATCTCTTTGATCACCATCTTCCGAATCTCGAGGATAAGATTCATCTTAACAGGGGTAGATTTTTAACACCCTAAAAATTGCTCCTTTTGAAAATAGATATAAATTGATTTAATTTTGTATTTTTGTGCTCATGAAAACATAGGAAAATATTTTTTATTAAATTAAAATTCATCATAAGGTGTAGCAACATTGATGTGCATACATGATGGTACATATGCATTATTGTGATGAGTGGTTTGGATCCAAAATTCAAATGATTTCAAATGTTTTTGAAATGGCTTTGAAATAAAAGAAAAGGAAACGAAAATTGGAAAACCCTTTCTCTTTTTTGGCCCGAGTGTGGCAGCAGGCCCACTCCCTCCCCCTTTTCTCGGACTTGCGCCTGACCCCGGGTCGACCAGCCCACTTCTCCCTTCCTCTCCCTCTGTTCCCTCCGCAGGCCCAGCGCCTCCAGCGCTATCTCCCCAGCCCACCTCGGCTTGACAGCCCAGCCAAAGGCCGAAGCCCACCAGGCCACTGCCTCAGCGGAAGTGGGGAGCGCGCTCACGGCTCGCCCTCGCCCCTTCCGCGTGCTCTCTCTGCCAGTCCGGCCCCGCACCCGCTCTCACTGAACCGTGGGGCCCGCTTGTCAGCCGCATCCCCCACCTCGCGCCGTGAAGACGGACTCTGTCCGAGGATTTGCCACCGCCTGGCTCCGATTCATCCGGGATACTGCGTAATCTCCACGCCTGGCGCCCCTGTAAGAAGACCGACATCACGCCCGAGCTCGCCCTTTGATCTACACCGCCCTGGCCCCGCCGCCAGCGTTTGGATCTCGCCGAAGCAGAGTGTGCCCACCACGCCATGGACGCCGACCGCGACCGCACGGATCTCCAAAACCGTCCGCCGAGCTCCACCTTGCCGTGAGGAAGCCATAAACGTAGCTCTCTCTTTCTCCCTCTCTCTCTGCTTGTTGCTCATCGCCGCCGGTTCTTCGCAGGAAGATCGGATCCTCTCGTCGAGCTGCACGCCACGACCGAGACCTCTTCGACCGCTACAAGCCCTAGATGAGTTCATGGTGACCTTATACATCCTCCCGTGCCCTTCCGGTCGAGTTCCTAGCCCGGAACCTCCGTTTCGGCGAAGTCCGGTAAGCTCTGGCCATGACGCCACCGTGCAGACACTGTGCCCCTATCAAAACCAAACTAATTCAAGATACCAAAGGTTCAAGGTCCAACTTGTTACTATCACTATTTTTTGTGTTCTTTTCTTTATATTATATTATGTTATATATTCTAAAGTTTTTTTTTTGTTCTTTTTTATTATATTATACTCAATCCATCCCAAATGGTAAGACGTTTGACTTTTTTGACATCAAATTTGATCACTCGTCTTATTCAAAAATTTGTGTAAAATATCACTTCTTTCGTCGTGGTTTGGTTTATTAATAAAAATTCTTCAAGAATGACTTAAATTTGACTATATTTGCATAAATTTTTTGAATAAGACGAGTGGTCAAATTTGGGGCCAAAAAAGTCAAACGTCTTACAATTTGGGATGGAGGGACTATATACTAAAGACAATTGAGATAGAATGTTAAGAAATTATTTTAAAACTGTAATAAATAAATTTTTGTGGCAACATAAGTACAAATGTTTAGCTTTAACCTGTATTTGCTTAGCAACAATGAAAATATTTCATTAACTCTTGACATTAATGTCTCTCGTGTGGCTATATTGATTGCTTGTTAGTAACTATAAATTTGTAGAAAAAATATGTACAAGATAGGACTTTGATATGTAACGGATGTTTATTATTTTTTTACAATGTCTCTACAAGTTACTGACGGATGATAAAGACACATCTAATTTCGTATCACTTTGAGATGTTTTTAATATTGTATCAAGAAGCATGTTTACGTGACTACATATGATTATTGATATGCTTTTATAATGTGTATAAATAAATTATATGCTGATGGTTTAAAGCATGTCTAACTTCATTTTATTTTGAGACGAGTTTAGTTTATATCAAAAAATATCTTTAATTAGTTGTGGAGCGTTCTATGATATGCTTTGTAACATGTCTAGAAGCAATTGGCGATTAAAAGCGTGCCCAGCACCGTGTCGTGTTGAGACATTTATAATATCATCATAAAAAATGTCTTTAGATACCTTGTAACACTAAAAACATGTCTAATATCACATTATGTTGAGACGTTCATAAAATCATGTAAAAACATCTTTACATGACTATGTAGAGATGCGTTTAGCGTGCATTATTATAAAAGCATGCCTAGAGCAACTTTTCCTGTAGTAGTTGCTCTCTAATTTAGCTTGTGTAGCTTAGCTAGTTGAGGTAGTGCTAGTGTTGTTGGCTTTTGTACTTGTGCTCGCTAGTATGTGTAGTAGCACACTTGTGCTTAGTTTACTGGTTGCATAAGTTTATGTAACCTTTCTAACCACTACGCCAGATTTGCACATCACTACCGGCCTCATCACTGTCGGATTTGTGAGAAGCGGCAGTGATGTACTTTCACTACCGGTTATGAGCTTAAAAATGATAAAATGATTGGGGCTGGGCTAAAACCGACAGTGAAGGACCACATCATTGCCGGTTTGTGGCTTGAACCGGTAGTGTTTTGGCGGCCACTTATCACTGTCGGTTCAAGCCACAAACTGGCAGTGATTTGGCTATATCACTGTCGATTCTAGCCAAGAACCGACGGTGATAAGCCTACAGCACAAAAAGGCTACAGTCGTCCTCTTCATTCTTCCCTCTTCCATCCCGAGAACAGAGGCGCGCGTTTGAGTCCTTCCCTCCATTGTTGTGGCTACTCTTCACCATGAAGCTAACGCTTGGATTTTGAAGAATGGCTTGATCTTTTTGCTTTAAAGTTAGTAACAAGCATCCACTCCTTTGATTTTGTTGCTTAATTAGCTTCATTTTGATGGCTATATTGCTTGATTCTCATTCTAGTTCTTTCTCCATTCTAGAGAGCACTTTTTCAATTGGACATTTGTGTAAGGCTCAAATTATGGTAAATCCATTATCTAAACGGTTGGTGTCTATGAACACATTTAAATTCCTAGCTAATTATTTCATGGTGGTCAAGATTATCATTGTTAGTATGTGATGCTATAATTAGTTCTTAGAATTAGAGTAGAATAGTTGTTCTTCAATATTATGCAATAATTGTTTTTTACTATGATTTTCAATTTACAGGACCGGGGCTACCAATTTCAAATTTTCAATAATTAGTGTACAATAATATTTTTCAAAAATGGTACTTTCGAGCTACAATTGTTGTTCATGAAGCTCGATTTCTTATTAATTCTTTGTAATTAC